ACCATTCATTGTTTCACAACAAAATAAAGGTTTGTGAGGCTGCATGTTGGAATGATTTTATGCCTTGAGTGCATGCTATACTGAAAACCTGAGAGTTGAAAGATTGTACCCAAAAAGGAATATGGGCCCCTACAAGCTCACTGACTAGAGCCTATTATCTAAAATCACGCCATGTTTCCAAGGTCCAACAACTGAAGTGTTTACGGTGTTTTTGCGAATGTTTACATAGTCTGATGCTGCTGGCTAGATACAGCCAAATATAGGCGGGTTTCACGGGCTCGGCTCCCGTTCCGTTTTAGCTTCGGGAGAGTTCGAAGCCCCTGACTAACGGGAATCAGGCTCAGTATGCACTGGTTTCGCTTTAGCAACTTTAAATCGAATAACAGGAAGCCAAAGTTTGGAGGCTATCCACTCGCTTGTGGCATTAGAAAAACTAAAATGATTATGTAGTCAAAGCAGAAGCAACATCTTGAGACGAATCCGTGGTTTGAGAACCCCCCCCCCCCAAGATAAACCCATGATCTGGTATCTCGCCTCGTCATGTACTAACCATGTTAAAAAAAAAAACCAGGTCAGGTGTAGTCTGTGCTACCTTGCCAGGGAGCATTTAATACCAAAACAAAAATAATTATGCGCATCACGAGTTAAGAGTTGAAGGGGCCATGCTATTAATTTTATAATTAAAATACACAATTGTGGTCCCTGCTCTTGTGCATTTTTAAGAGAAACCTTTTTTTTCTCTTTTGAACGTCTCCAAGTCACTTGAACAAAAATCAGAAAAGAAACGCGGCTGAATTGTCAACATTTGGTAATTATTCCACAACAAAATGTCATTTTTTTTTCTTTCGATGCGCTATATGCAAGCCTTCAACTTCAAACTTCTGTATTGCTAATTAAAAGCAAGCAATAAAAACAAAATTCAGGATGGAGTACAAAAATAGCACGGGAAAAGTATCTTTTTTAAAAGGCGTTGAACCATTCAAATTCACCCAACAAAGGTTTTTGGAGTTGCTATATTGGAATGATTTTCTGCTCTGGGGGCATGCTACCCTAACCTGAGAGTCTCAAAGATTGTAACCCGAAATTTAAGAGTTTACTGACTGTTCACGCCATGTATCAAAGGTCCAAAACCGAAGTGTTTACGGCGTTCATGCGAATGTTTACATAGTATGATGGCACTGGCTAGATAAAACCAAATATAAGTGGGTTTGCAGTGCGCGGCTTCGGTTCTGTTTTGACTTCGGGAGAGTCGGAGGTCCCTTACCTAGGGGAATCCGTCTCCGTACAGGCCCTTGTTTAGTTTCAATACAATAAAATCAAATGTATTATCCCATTGTGGGAAAGTAAATGGCCTTTTTTAGGCAAATTTTAAAACACCCAGAAAGCACGAATGTAAAAACTACACAAATACAGAAATACATAGAAAATGAATACATCAATAAAAAAAAATACAATCTTTAAGCAAGTAAGATATATTTATTCACTGTGAACCTGTTTGCTATTTATATTTGTTTTACACACCAAACCAACGTTGGAAGAATATCCATTTGGTTGTGAAATTAGAAACCCCAAGAATTATTCTGAAGTCAGAGACGGAGCCGTACCCGGGATGAATCCGTGGTTTGGAAAACCACCAGCGATAAACCCATGATCTGGTGTCCCGCCTCGTCATGTTAAAACCAATTGAAGCAAAATCAGGTCAGACGTAGTCTGTGTTACCTTGCAAGAGTTCATTATCAAAACGAAAATAGTTATGCGTATCTCGAGTTACAGTTAATATTATCTACTGTGTTTACTGAGAGGGGCGTATAGCTGATTTACATACAATCCATCGCAGTAGGGCATTGAACGCCAGTACATAGACAACTTCTAGATAATTTTCCTCTCAGCGAGTGAACTTCACACCTTCCTTCAACTCGGCAAATACCAAAATGCTGCGAAAGACCATTCAGGATTTGGATTCAGGAAGAGGGCGTTTTTCTCTGCAATTCTGTACAGACAACCCGCCTTCTCATTAAGCAAAAACCAAAAAGTAAACCTTTGAAGGAAGAGCTTTTTTTTTTCTTAAAACATCTTTCTGAAAGAAAACTCCAGCCACACAAATGTAATTTAATGTGACCCCGCAGTTGTTGTGGTCGGTTTAACGTACAAACCTGAGCAACATTAGAGACACACTCTCGGAAAAAATGGTTCGGATAACATTGTTAACTTATTTCTTATGATGGGACTGCGGTTTGGCCGAAGTCAATTGAGCGTGATCGGCTGACTGATAAGGTTTACGTACAAAACCCCAAGACAACGAGGTTTTTGTATAGAAAGCTGCTGGACCACATTTTGCGAGAGTGTGTCCGTAATGCTTGAAGCCTGCCGGTAATGCTGAGCCTGCATACTGCCAAAGTTACCAGTGGCATCCCTACATGATTTTCTCGTGCAAATAGGACCCATTTTGGACCCTAATTTTATCAAATCTGCTCTTAGATAATAGCCCAAAAGCTAGGGAGATGATCCTCGGCTATATTCGCATGATTCCACCGATTTTTAAACTAGACGGTCTCGTTTTTTGCAAAAAATTGTGGGGGCACTTTTTATGCAAATTAACGACGCGGACGCGTAGAAATTTTGAAACCCTAATCAAATTGATTGCGCCCGCTGTTGGTCTTATTGCGCCATTCTGATATATCTTCTGTTTAGCCCCCCCCCCCCCCACAGCCCCCCCCCCCCACCACCACACCGAAAAATAATGGTAATTAAATACTGTTAAAAATGTGCTCGTTTATTCAGAAATTCATGAAGCATATTCAAACTGATTGGATGTTTCCAAAGTGTCTTTCCCATTTGCAAAAGTTCTTTTTAAAAGCCCATCAACCATTAGAGACACACTCTCGGAAAAAATGGTTTGGATAACATTGTTAACTTATTTCTTATGATGGGACTGCGGTTTGGCCGAAGTCAATTGAGCGTGATCGGCTGACTGATAAGGTTTACGTACAAAACCCCAAGACAACGAGGTTTTTGTATAGAAAGCTGCTGGACCACATTTTGCGAGAGTGTGTCCGTAATGAAAAAAGGAGATATTTTACTTTGCTCGCCACGCCAAACCGTTTCTAGAAACTACTGAACTATCGACGATTACTGTGGTAAACGCCAGTCGGGTTTTTCTTAGAAAAAGGAGACTATCGAAACGATGGATCCGAAGACAATCAAAGCAGACACATGAAAGTCAGAGGTAAACAGCAATGACAGTGATTCATTTCAAATGAAGGTCATAATTGTAGCTTAATATCGAAGGATTTGTTGAATCATTGACGCTTTACAGCTACTGGAGTGAACTTGTGCAATACTGTTCATAGACTCATGACAGTGGATGTGACTTTGACCATAGTTTCATAAGGAATTGTTCACAGATCCCGTTCTATTTTAGAATAATGCATTTCTAAAACTAAACAGATTTTCTCTCTGTTTTTACAGTAATACCAAACATGTAAAACAGAAACTGCAGGTCTTTGTCCGGACTCCCTCCTCACATCAATCCAAGACACTGTATTTCGAACTCCATCCCGAGACATTCGTCTCATCTCTCAAAGAAACAATCCAGAAGAGGATCGGTGTGGAAGCACGACATCAGCGTCTATACATCAGGGAAATCTTCCAGGTAGGTATACTTTCATTCATAATTCCGGTAATACGGATAAGTTGTTCAATTTGAAATATCAACACCTAGATTTTCGCATTGGTATTTTAGAAAGGGTAATGTGGAATGCAAGATCTCATATTATGTTCATGTTTTAAACACTATTTTCAAAAAATCACAACCCCTCCCTCCACACCATGAAAGGCTTCAACGAACGTAATTTGCTGGAAGTTTGAATAATTAACATCTTATCGTCCCTGTTTCTCCTGATTATGTAATTTACTTTCTTACATTATCCATTTTGTTAGCTCTGTGACTTGCTCACACTTGAGGAGAATGGTGTCGACAAGAACGAAATCATCTCTCTCCGGCTGTCAATAGAAGACACAAAAGGTAAATTATAGAGTTTTACAAATAAATGTTCAAATAAATAAACAATCTGAATGTAAACTATTAATGAAGAACAAGAGTTGCTTTTTGTTGTAGCTGATGTTAATAAGTTAATAAGTTGTAAGTTATAAGTAAAATGTTTCACAGAAGTTAAAAGTTAATGTTTTTGGCAGATAAAGCTAACATTGATGATGAGTACCTCAAGGACTTGTCGTCGAAAATCGAATCATCTTGGAAGGAACTTGCCAAACACCTAGGATATGAAGAAGCGGAAATTGCAGACATCCAAACCACCAACAAAGGCAGCATTGAAGAGAGCCGTCACATGCTACTCAGTTGGTGGGAAAAGACGACAGTTCGGAGCGAAGCAGCTCAGAAGCTGAGACGAGCATTGGAGGCCATCGGGTTGACTGATTTGGCCCAAAATGTACCGGGTGAGCTTAATTAATGTAAACAAGTATTTTCTAATACTCAGAAGTGATTTTCGACTGGACTCAATTCTTTTAGGACAAAAAATATTGGTATGGTACCCTACTCTCACACAGAGCTCTTTAAACGAATAAATAGGCCCGAGCAATGAAGAACGGCCTCGTTGATTGTAAAACAAAATAGTCAAGATAGTTAAAAGTGATTGGTAAACAATACAATTATGATGCACTCTGTTTTCCTTCTTACATCAGTAACGAGCGAATCGAGTGACGAAGCAGCTGGACCCGAGCCAGAAAAGCATCAAGATGCAGGAGTTGACGAAGAGAGCAAACAAAATGGGGTGGCATCAACCGAAGAAGAACATGTGAAAAACGACGAGGTACCAAAAGGTAAAAGACCAAGTTGGGGAAACAAATTAATATGTCCAAGTGAACAGACGACCTCCTAGGCAGTTTTTGCTATCTTTAGTTGAGCTGTTTATAAAGAACAACGGTCTATTTTTGTTGCGGCTGTAGTTAATAGTATAAGCTTACTGCTATACGTTGATACCATGTACGCCTGTGGACGCAAAAGAAATGTTTCACTGAAGGAACAATTTAAAATTCTATTGGCAGACAAGGCCGCCATTGATGATGAGTACCTCAAGGGCTTGTCCCCGAAAATTGAATCATCGTGGAGGAAACTTGCCAAACACTTAGGATATGAAGATGCGGAAATAGCAGACATCCAAACCACCAACGAAGGCAGCGCTGAAGGGAGCCGTCACATGCTACTCACTTGGTGGGAAAAGATGACAGATCGCAACGAAGCAGCTCAGAAGCTGAGACGAGCATTGGAGGCCATCGGGCTGACTGATTTGGCCCAAAATGCACCGGGTGAGCTTAAAGTTAAAACTAGACTTACTAGACTTATTTTTCAGGACACAGAAAAGAATTGATGAGGTACCACACGATCTTTTTTTATACAGCAAATAAGCTATTACAAAAAACTACCTTGTTAATTTTTTAAACAAATTAAAAATGTTAAAAGAAAAATCAGTGGAAAGTCATTTGTAAACAATTCTTTGCACTCTATTTTGCTTGTAACATCAGTAACGAGCGAATCGAGAGACGAAGCAGCTGGACCCGAGCCAGAAAGGCGTGAAGATGCAGGAGTTGACGAGGAGAGCAAACTAAACAAAGTGGCATCAACCGAGGAAGAGAAACCGAAAAAGGAACGAGTTTGTGATCAAGACAAACCTCAGCTAATCAGGTAAAACACGATATGCTGCTTTTCGTACTACAACTGCAATTTTGGTTTTTTTAAAGATAAATATAGCTCCCTTTGAAAACAAAATTTCCTCACTTAAATAATGGCGTAGAGAATGATTATACGCCATTAGTCTTTACCTTTATTCCTGAACTTTTATGTCAATTCCAACAATTAAAAAGCCTCACCATCAGAACCTTTTTTCTGACAGTCGCAGATATGTGCAGGTCTTCATCAGAAGTCACTGCTCACATAGACCGAGGATAATGTGCTTGCAAGTGGATCCAGAAACATCTGTCTTGCTCTTAAAAGTGATAATGAGCGAGAAAATCGGTGTGCTGCCTCAACAACAGCGTCTGTTCATCCGAAGAAACTTTCGTAACTTTGAGGTAAAGATTGCTCTATATTTTACAAAGCAGCCGTGTTGCGAAGTACCATCAACATTCTATTGATTTAAAGACCATGCATTGTGGGTTTTTGTGACAGTCTCTTCTGATTCAGTAGTCGTGTACAGATATAGTGCTGCTTTTTATGTCAGCACAATGGAGTTTACGCACTTATTAGTTTCAAGGTGAAGCTGCACCATAACAAGTTACAATTATATGTAGTTATTTTTACCAGTGTAGTATAATCTGAAACCCTAAACTGTCGTTTAAACCTTTGCTTCGAAAAAAAATGTTCTTTAAGAAACTTCTTTCTTTTGCCAGCTCCATAACTTGCTGACACTACACGACTGTGGAATTCATCAGGACGAGAACATCTCACTACGTCTGTGTACCGATGGCCTACTGGGCGGTGGACCAAAAGGTAAATGCTTATGAGAAACATTACCTTGCAAGATGGAGAAAAGCAAACGATCAAAATGTCTCCTGGAAAGGAAATGATTAAAAACAATTTGATGCTCTAACGTTATATATTATCATTGGTACAAGTGTTAGGATGTAAATTAATGTCATCGCCTCCCTCTCCGATGTAATTCAACAAGGACCAACACATTATATAAACAAATACTAAGGAAATCAGATTAATTATTTGCTTGCTATTTCTTTATGATGTAGTAACGAAGAGGTTTCGTTTTTATTTGGCAGGCAAATACCCTGTTGATGATCAGTTCTTTCGGGACTTGGCTTCGAAAACTGAATCATCCTGGGAACAGTTGGCCAAATCCCTGGGATACGGTGAAGACGAAATCAAGCAATTCCAAAAAATCGGCCAAGAAAACAAAGAAAGGAGCCTACAGATGCTGCTTTCTTGGTGGAGAAAGCAAACAACTTGCGAGCAAGGATTTCAGAGTTTGAAAGATGCGTTAAACTCAATCGGGCATGTTGAGCTGGCCCTAATAATTCCTTCTGAAGAGCAACGGAGGATGGAACAGGAAGAAGTTGCAGATAGGGAGAAAAGGGGAGCATCATCTGAGGGACGCAGACCAAGACAGGAGGAAACTGCTCATCGAGATAAACTTCAACCACAGGTACAATTGAGAAGAGCTGAAGAACAAATGGAGAAGAAAGGGACTACATCATCTGAGAATCAGAGAACCAGCCAAGAGGAAGTTACACATCGAGACAAACACGAACCATCGATACTAATGAGAGGGGCTAAAGAACAGAGCACGATGAAAGGGACTACATCTGAGGGACAGCGACCAAGACGAGATGAAATTGCTCATCGAGACGAACCTAAACCAGAGTTACACATGGGAGGAGCTAAAGAACAGAGCAAGGAGAAAGGGACTTCATCATCTGAGGACAAGAGACAGGGACAACAGGAAGCTGCTAATCGAGACAAACCTCAACCAGAGGTACAAGTGAGAGGGGCTAAAGAACACAGCAGGAAGAGAGGTGCTACATCATCTGAGGACAAGAGACCAGAACAAGAGAAAGTTGCTCATCGAGACGAACCTCAACCAAAGGTACAAGTGAGAGGGGCTAAAGAACAGAGCAGGAAGAGAGGAGCTACATCATCTGAGGACCAGAGACCAGAACAAGAGGAAGTTGCTCATCGAGACGAACCTCAACCAGAGGTACAAGTTAGAGGGGCTAAAGAACACAGCAGGAAGAGAGGAGCTACATCATCTGAGGACCAGAGACCAGAACAAGAGGAAGTTACTCATAGAGACAAAACTCAACCACCAGTACAAATGGGAGTGGCTAAAAAAAAGATCAAACAGAATGAGACTACATCATCTGAGGACCAGAGACGGGGACAACAGGAAGCTGTTCATCGAGACGAACCTCAACCAGAGGTACAAGTGAGAGGGGCTAAAGAACACAGCAGGAGGAAAGGGGCTTCATCATCTGAGGGCCACAGACCAGAACAAGAGGAAGTTGCTCATCGAGACAAACCTCAACCAGAGGTACAAGTGAGATGGGCTAAAGAACACAGCAGGAAGAGAGGAGCTATATCATCTGAGGACCAGAGACCAGAACAAGAGGAAGTTGCTCATCGAGACGAACCTCAACCAAAGGTACAAGTGAGAGGGGCTAAAGAACAGAGCAGGAGGAAAGGGGCTTCATCATCTGAGGACCATAGACCAGAACAAGAGGAAGTTGCTCATCGAGACGAACCTAAACCACCGGTACAAGTAGGAGTGACTGGGATAGAAAGCAGATCAGGTAAACAATTACACATATTCCATTATATGTTTTATCTTTCTCTCGCTTGCTATTTTCCTTCGATTGTTTTTCCTTTCTATTATCAAGAATCAAATGTGTTAAATATGCACTGTCGGGCTCTTCAACAAATTTGCTCTTGTGCTCCCAGCAAGTGCTCAACTTTAATGTTATCAATTTAAGATAAAACTACTTTACTTCTGGTTTTGGGCGGCTGCAAACCTCCGATTCTTGGTTCCTTTTCAGCGCATGTATATCCGGTTAGCGAGTAGGCTTTTTAAGGGAAGATAAAATTCGACAACCATTCCCTTACTAACTTACGCGTGCAATAATTGATTATACTTTAAATAATTAAGTGAACTAATCATTTTCAAAACATATGAGTGTTTCTTTTTCGATATCTCATTCAAAAGTAGAAAGTAAAAGTTAACGTAATTTTGTTAGATATAGACATAATAGAAATTTGAAAATCTCTTTAACTAGAAAATCTTTACAAGAATATATAAGCACCGACATGACATCTTGAATCATTCGGCAATAAAGATATTGTTTGCAGTCTAGCACGCGCGGTTGTGTTTCAGTTTAATATGGTATGATTCAGTTTAATACTGAGAGATCTTCACGCAGCGCAGGTATGAGTTGAGGAACATGCAGACACAGTCGCCCAAGCCAGATAGTCGTGTTTTTTTTCGGGTCAGTTTTCCTTGATTTTAGTAGAGTCAGGTCGGGTCGGATCGGGTCGGTTTCTTAAAGAGCACACATTGCTTTCGGTTCGGATTCGGTTAATATTTTTAATGTTTTGGGTCAGTTTTGTGGTCGGTTTGGCCTGGTCAACCCGACCTGATGCACAACATTAGTACATACGTCTAAAATGTGTATTGTTCTTCGGGTTAGTTGCTCAGCACTCGTCAGGTTAGTTGTTCAGCACCCTTCTTTAAATTTTGAGCACTTTTGTTGCTGCAAACTTCAAACGAACATAATGCACAAATTACAAATGATGGACTGTACCTTTAACAGCAGCCATCCCCCAACACGGTCATTGTCACTCAGTGAAGACCGGGTCATCACACTGTTACTCCCTAATTATTGAATTGAATTAAATTGAAGGATATTTTAATTCTTGCTTTTGATTGTAGATTACCCACAACAAAGTGGAGCCAGCATAGGAAGCATCGGAGCAATCAGCGGTAACCAGAACCCTGTCATTGTTGGTTCAAGTCGAGTTAATATCACTTACAACTCGCCATTGGAAGGACCAGGTAAATATAATCTTGTTCAATACGATAAAGTATTTTGATATCTAAATTAAGTGTTAATGTATTGGGGGGGGGGGGGCAGGGGAAGGATGGTGTACTGTTTTAGCATATTATATGTTGAACAAAGTCCCATGACTTATTAAGCTGTACTTGTAGTTCTCGAGAGGTAGGACTTGAAAATATGCACCTTAATAGGGGAAGAGATCAAAAACATTTTTCAAAGTAAATTTTCTTTGGGTATTCGTTGTTGTGTCATTACATGCCAGTAAGCCAATGAGCTTCTCAAAAATGTTTTCAATGACTGAATAATGGGTGCCTAATTGAACAGAAAACCCCTAAACTGAACAGTGTCTTCCTAAAATGACATCACAGCAACAGCGCCCTCAACATTGAACATTTTAAGTGTTTAAAGAAGTACACTTTTCAATCAAAAGGGATGTCAAATAGTGTTCATACATTTAAGGGAGTAGAAAGTTGTGTGCCTAAGAAATAAGAAAAATGCAAATGCAAAAGTGCATTTTTTAAAACACATATTTTCTATGTTTTTTCAACAACTGGGGGCGCTGTTGCTGCGATGTCATTTCAGGGAGACAGTGTTCAGTTTAGGGGTTTTGTGCACAAAGTGAACCAAAAAATCTGCTCATTTATAACAGTTTTGAGAAAGGTTTGCCCATTGGCTTACTGCCAAGTACCAACACAAATCACTGAAAAAGGGAACGCTTTCAAATGCAAAATTCTTGCACCTTTTTGGGCACAAACCAATTGCAACATTGAAATTTTTGCCTGATATAACATCACATTTTGCTCACAAATAAAAAAAATTGGCATGAGCATAAAATCCACAAAAGACACCATAATACTCTTAAAAACAGCAAAATGAAAATTGAAAATAAGGTTCACTGGAATACAAAGGTGCATTTTTAAGGACTGCATTACCAACATTTTACTGCATGGGCCCTTTAAAAACCTTAACAAAAAGAAAAAAATATTGAAAACCATTTTTTTTTACCGCTGAAAAATACACCACTGATGTAATTTCTTTTCTTTTTAACAGCCGAGGTGGGAAGAGCGCAATCCAGTCCGAGTGATGCTGCAGCTGATCAGTGCAGGAGTGAATTAAAAGACCGGTATACTACCACAGGTAGTTACGTTCAGTTAATACCCTGGGTCGATGACAACATGAAACATATAAGGGACATATATACAGAGTTGCAATTAGAAAAGGGTGACCAGGATGACATACAGGGCGATGTTGGGGAGTATGGGGACATTTTCCTCGTTAAAACTACAGACGGGAATGTGATTAAACGCGCCATTTTGTGTGGGTCAGCTGGGATGGGGAAGTCAACCATTATTGACAAAATGGCATACGACTGGGCTACAGGTGTTGCACTCGGACAGTTTTCACTTTTGTTTGTCTTGAAAATGTCCGCTCTCGATCAAACGTCGGATCTTGTTGAGTCAGTGTTTTCTCAACTTTTAGCGGATGATACAGTAGTATTTAAGGGTGGTTTGGAAGCATTCATTAAAGACAATGGTAGTAGTGTGCTTATTCTCATAGATGGTTTTGATGAATTCAGGACAACAAACCTCGAACCAGAGAAATTTGGTTCCATTTTAAGAATGCTCAATCGCAAATTTGGCAAAAAATGTTTTGTAGTTGTAACAACACGCCCCTCTCACTTGGCTAAATTGAAAAGCAAATCACTCATTGAGAAACCTTTCACCCATGTGAAGGTTTTGGGATTTAAGATGGAAGATATTGGGCAGTATGTGAGAAAGTTTTTCCCTGCTAAGCTTGATGAGGCTGAGGGACTTCTTAATAGGATTCAGTCATCGGATGTCCTGTCTGATTTAGCAAGGAGTCCCATGCTGCTCCTGCTAATGTGTGGACTATGGGAGGAAAAGGCAACACTACCTGATACTCTATCAAGATTGTTCAGTGAGGCAATTAGATACATATTTCGAAGAAAAATTCATAAATTATCAGAAGAAGCAATATTGGAAGCAGTGATTTCAATCGGTAAAGTTGCTTTAGCAGGGCTTGTTTCCCCAGAGCAAAGGCTTTCATTTCAAGAGGGAGAGTTTGAGAAGAGTGCACTTGATAAAGCAATACAAGCGGGTGTTCTCACTAGCCAGAGGGTCATGAAGTGGTGCGGCACGCACAATAACGTGCAATTCATTCATAAGACACTTCAAGAGTACTGCGCAGCTATGTACTGTCAGAGTCTTTTGAGCAAAGGCGATGGGGAATTTCAGAGGATTCTTAATAGACTTGGAGATCCTTGGAATTTTGAGCACATGTTGCGCTTCTGCTGCGGCGACAATCAACAATGCACAAGGCATATTTTGCAGATACTGCATGAGACAAATCTGCAAAATAAAGGCATCGAACTTAAAAAAGTAAAGGAATTGGCCTTAAATTGCTACTTTGAAAGTCAAGCAGGAGGTTTGTTATCGGTAGATTTCATTGAGTCTTTTTTGACTGGAGACATAACGTTAAGTGGTAACGACTGCGTGAACTCGTTCGTGTGGTTGCTGCAGCATGTTGCCGAGCAGACAGAGCCCTCAGGAGTAGATTACTTTGCTAAAGTAAGTAAAATTCACTTCAGGGCGTGTAACCTGTCAAGGTTGAGTGAAGTCGTAGCTTTGCATTTGACCACAATGAAAAACTTGCGCGTGTTGTATTTCGATGGATGCACACTAACTGGTAGCAATGCTAATACACTATTGTCATCATTTCGAAATGGAGGCAACTTGACAGAAATAAGTCTTGAAAGAAATAATTTGGGCGGCTCAGCCAAAGACTGGGCGGTCAAGTTGCAAGTGATGAAATACCTCAAGACACTTCGTTTGAATGGATGTTGCTTAGACCCGCGCGATGCAGTAGACATTGCATCATCGGTTGGGCAGATGACAAACTTAGCCGCTCTTGATCTTTCCGACAATAAGGGATTGGGTGGAAATGCTGAAACGTGGGCGGCTAGTTTGCAGTCGATGATTCACCTGAAGAAGCTTGACTTGAAACATTGTAGCATTACCAGTCGCGATTTGAAATATATCGCTGAATCAGTAAGTCGCATGCGGAATATCGTGGATTGTGATTTCAGTAATGACCATGAGTTGTGGCGTGTACAGTCATTGGGTAATGGCATAGAGTTGAGCATCAAGAAGTTCTCACTCACTGTCAAGGATATGGCGGATGTGTTGCAGTCATTCAATAATCGGCGAGATTTAGTCAGATTGACCATTGATGGCGTTCGCGGTATTGGTGGTTCCGCAAGCATCTGGACTCCACTCTTGCAAAACCTGACGGAACTACAGAAGTTAGATTTAAGTGATTGCTCACTGCAAAGTGCTGACATTGAACACCTTGCTGTAGCATTAGGTCAAGTACCAAACTTGGCCAATCTCAACCTTTCTAAGAATTCAAACTTGGGTTGTAACGCAGGAACGTGGGCGGCTAGTTTGCAGAGGATGATGCACTTGAAATCACTTGATTTATCGGAATGTGGCATAAATGAACAAGATATACCACATATCGCATCATCGGTTGGAAAGATGCCAAACTTGGCCGATCTTAATCTTTCAGGCAATAAGGAATTGGGTGGTAACGCCGTAACGTGGGCGACTAGTTTGCAGTCGATGATTCACCTGAAGAAGCTTGACTTGAAACATTGTAGCATTACCAGTCGCGATTTGAAATATATCGCTGAATCAGTAAGTTGCATGCGGAATATCGTGGATTGTGATTTCAGTAATGACCATGAGTTGTGGCGTGTACAGTCATTGGGTAATGGCATAGAGTTGAGCATCAAGAAGTTCTCACTCACTGTCAAGGATATGGCGGATGTGTTGCATTCATTCAATAATCGGCGAGATTTAGTCAGATTGACCATTAATGGCGTTCGCGGTATTGGTGGTTCCGCAAGCATCTGGACTCCACTCTTGCAAAACCTGACGGAACTACAGAAGTTAGATTTAAGTGATTGCTCACTGCAAAGTGCTGACATTGAACACCTTGCTGTAGCATTAGGTCAAGTACCAAACTTGGCCAATCTCAACCTTTCTAAGAATTCAAACTTGGGTTGTAACGCAGGAACGTGGGCGGCTAGTTTGCAGAGGATGATGCACTTGAAATCACTTGATTTATCGGAATGTGGCATAAATGAACAAGATATACCACATATCGCATCATCGGTTGGAAAGATGCCAAACTTGGCCGATCTTAATCTTTCAGGCAATAAGGAATTGGGTGGTAACGCCGTAACGTGGGCGACTAGTTTGCAGTCGATGATTCACCTGAAGAAGCTTGACTTGAAACATTGTAGCATTACCAGTCGCGATTTGAAATATATCGCTGAATCAGTAAGTTGCATGCGGAATCTGATGGATTGTGATTTCGGTAGTTACCCTAGGGTGTGGCGTGTACATTCATTGGGTAATGGCATAGCGTTGAGCATCGAGAGGTTCTCACTCACTGTCACGGATATGGCGGATGTGTTGCAGTCATTCAATAATCGGAGAGATTTAGTCAGATTGACCATTAATGGCGTTTGCGGTTTGGGTGGTTCTGCAAGTATCTGGGCTCCACTCTTGCAAAACCTGACGAAACTTAAGGAGGTGGAGTTAAGTGATTGCTCACTGCAAAACGCTGACATTGAACACATTGCTGCAGCATTAGGTCAAGCACCAAACTTGGCTAATCTCAACCTTTCTAAGAATTCAAACTTGGGTGGTAATGCAGGAACGTGGGCGGCTAGTTTGCAGAGGATGATGCACCTTAAATCAATCGATTTATCAAAATGTGATATAAATGAACAAGATATACCACATATCGCATCATCGGTTGGAAAGATGCCAAACTTGGACGATCTTAATCTTTCAGGCAATAAGGGATTGGGTGGTAACGCCGTTACGTGGGTGACTAGTTTGCAGTCGATGATTCACTTAAAGAAGCTTGACATGAATTGTTGTGGCATTGACAGTCGCGCTTTTAAATATATCGCTGAATCAGTAAGTCGCATGCGGAATCTGGTGGATTGTGATTTAAGTACAAATTGTTACGATAAGCTGTTGTGTGTACAGTCATTGGGTAATGGCATAGCGTTGAGCATCAAGAAGTTCTCACTCACTTTCAAGGATATGGCGGATGTGTTGCAGTCATTCAATAATCGGAGAGATTTAGTCAGTTTGACCATTAATGGCGTTTGCGGTATGGGTGGTTCTGCAAGTGTCTGGACTCCACTCTTGCAAAACCTGACGGAACTTCAGGAGTTAGATTTAAGTGATTGCTCACTGCAAAGTGCTGACATTGAACACATTGCTGCAGCATTATGTCAAGCGCCAAACTTGGCCGATATCAACCTTTCAAAGAATTCAAACTTGGGTGGTAACGCAGGAACGTGGGCGGCTAGTTTGCAGAGAATGATGCATCTGAAATCACTCGATTTATCGGAATGTGGCGTCAATGGAAAAGATTTACTGCATATTGCATCATCGGTTGGAAAGATGCCAAACTTGGCCAATCTTGACCTTTCAGGAAATGAGGGGTTTGGTGGTAACACTGAAACGTGGGCGACTAGTTTGCAGTCAATGATTCACTTACAGAGGCTTATCATGAGAAATTGTAGCATTCACAGTCGCGATTTGAAATATATCGCTGAATCAGTAAGTCGCATGCGGAATCTCGTGGATTGTTATTTCAGTAATGACACTGGGGAGTGGTATGTGCAGTCATCAGAGTTGAGGATCAAGAAGTTCTCACTCACCGTCACGGATATGGCGGATGTGTTGCAGCCATTCAATAATCAGCGAGATTTAGTCAACTTGACCATTAACAGTGTTTGCGGTATGGGTGGTTCTGCAAGTATCTGGACTCCACTCTTGCAAAACCTGACAAAACTTCAGAAGTTAGAATTAAGTGATTGCTCACTGCGAAGTGCTGACATTGAAAACATTGCTGAAGCATTAGGTCAAGTACCAAACTTAGCCAATCTCAACCTTTCTAAGAATTCAAACTTGGGTGGTAACGCAGGAACGTGGGCGGCTAGTTTGCAGAGGATGATGCACCTTAAATCAATCGATTTATCAAAATGTGATATAAATGAACAAGATATACCACATATCGCATCATCGGTTGGAAAGATGCCAAACTTGGCCGATCTTAACCTTTCAGGCAATAAGGGATTTTGTGAAAACGCCGTAAAGTGGGCGACCAGTTTGCAGTCGATGATTCACTTAAAGAAGCTTGACATGAACTGTTGTGGCATTAACAGTCGCGCTTTTAAATATATCGCTGAATCAGTAAGTCGCATGCGGAATCTGGTGGATTGTGATTTAAGTACAAATTGTTACGATAAGCTGTTGTGTGTACAGTCATTGGGTAATGGCATAGCGTTGAGCATCAAGAAGTTCTCACTCACTTTCAAGGATATGGCGGATGTGTTGCAGTCATTCAATAATCGGAGAGATTTAGTCAGTTTGACCATTAACGGTGTTTGCGGTATGGGTGGTTCTGCAAGTATCTGGGCTCCACCCTTGCAAGACCTGACGGGACTGCGGGAGTTAGATTTAAGTGATTGCTCACTGCAAAGTGCTGACATTAAACACATTGCTGCAGCATTAGGTCAAGCACCAAACTTGGCCGATCTCAACCTTTCAAAGAATTCGAACTTGGGTGGTAACGCAGGAACGTGGGCGGCTAGTTTGAAGGGAATGATTCACCTGAAGTCACTCGATTTATCAAAATGTGGCATAAATGAACAAGATATACCACATATTGATTCATCGGTTGGAGAGATGCCCAACTTTGCCGATCTTAACCTTTCAGGCAATGCGGGATTGGGTGCTAACGCAGGAACGTGGGCGGCTAGTTTGCAGAGGATGACGCACCTTAAAACACTCAATTTATCGAACTGTGGCATAAATGAACAAGATATACCACATATTGCATCATCAGTTGGGGAGATGCTAAACCTGACCCGTCTTAATCTTTCATGGAATGAGGGATTGGGTGGTAACGCAGGGACGTGGGCGGCTAGTTTGCAGGCGATGATTCACCTTAAATCACTCGATTTATGGGAATGTGGCATAAATGAAAAAGATATACCACAAATTGCATCATCAGTTGGGGAGATGCCAAACTTGGCCGAACTTGATCTTTCATGCAATGAGAGGTTGGGTGGTAACGCAGGAACGTGGGCGGCTAGTCTGCATAGGATGATGCACCTTAAAACACTCCATTTATTGAAATGTGGCATAAATGAACAAGATATACCACATATTGCATCATCTGTTGGGGAGATGCCACACTTGGCTAATCTTAAACTTTCACATAATTTTAACTTGAGTAGTAATGCCAAAACGTGGGCGGCTAGTTTCAAGAGGATGATGCACCTTAAATCAATCGATTTATCTTCATGTGACATAAATGAACAAGATCTACCACATATTGCATCATCGGTTGGGAAGATGCCGAACTTGGCCGATCTTAACCTATCAGGCAATCAGGCATTGGGTGGTAACGCCAAGACATGGGCGGCTAGTTTCAAGAGGATGACGCACCTTAAAACACTCAATTTATCGAACTG